ATTCTGCAATTAGAAGTTAAACGAGACAAAATCCAGTACAAGCAGGAATAGAGAAAAGGAATTTGGTGTCTATGGAATCTCCCTCATCTGAACTCCCTGAATGGTCCTGACACAGCCCATGCCCACAGGCAGAGGGCAGGAACAGCTCTGGGTACTGGGACACCACAAGGGACAGGGGCCCTGGTACGCTGCTGCTCTTGGGCACCAGGCAGTGGCCCATGCAAGGCCAGGGTGCTGGAGAGAAGCTGAGGAGACAAGCAGCTGTGTAGACAAAACAGGTCTCCCCAAGGGGAAAGGTGAGGCAGGAGAATACATTTTCTGTTACTTATCTCAATAAAATGGGAAAGAAATCTCAAAGAAAATGGGAAAAAGTTAAGGCAAAAATATTTGCAGCAGTGAATCTCTGTTTGCTTCAAGAGACCTCAGCTTTCCCAAGAAGCCAAAATTAAACCCAACTCTACAGAACAGAGGAGAACAGAAACCTTCAGCACTGGGAACAAACAATGCAGCACCAGGATCAGAAGACTGAAAGGGGAGGAGAACAGAGGGAACAGCCAGGAGGGAACAGGCAACACAAGCCCTGAGCAGCAGAGACAGCATTAAAAACACCCCAGCATGGGCTCTGGTAGCCCTGCAGAAAAAGAAAGTCTCCAAATTGTGTCAAGATGTTGCTTCTCTAGAGATACCAAGTGAAAATTTTGATTTACATAGCTGGGAGATGCCATGCAAAGCATAAGAGAGGAAAATGAGTGACCACAGGATGGTTTTCCTTTATTTTGTGGTTCATTTCTGAAAAGCTGCTGCTTCTCCTTTTCTTTCCCTTGAAAGGAGAGAAACTTTGAAAGAAATTGCAGAATGCAATTAAAAATCTAAAATGGTGTACTGCATTAAAAAAAAAAAACACGGGGGAGAAATCTTAACAGAAAAACATCAAATATCTGTGTCCTAAAATATTGTGTTTTGTTTTTTTTCCCCATGCTGTGCTGTGTTAACATGTCCCTCACATGTGTGCCCAGCTGCTGCTGCGAGCTCGGTGGCAGGGACAGGAAATTTGGAGCTAATGGGGAAAGCAGGGAATACCAACCTGTAATTTATTTTTATGATTTCTGGAATGTTATAATTGAATTACACTAATGTTATGTGCTAATGGATGGTTGGGCACTGAGAGGCCTTTCCTGTTGCAAACACTGCAAAGAACCCCCACGCTCTGCAAACACTTGTGCACAGAGACATACCCAGTGCCATTTGTGCCCAGCACTCAGGACATGGTCCACTGTTCCCTATTTCCAAAACTAAACTCTTTCTTGATCAGTACTGTAACAGTAATGTAGCTGCAGAGAAAAACAAGATACCTTCAACTACCTCAAAAGCAGACACAAAAAAAATTAGGCTTTTAGGTCTGCAGGCTCCTGAGGAGAAGACAGAATCTGCTCTGTTTGCCCCAGACAATTCAGCCAAGATTCCCTGGGGCCTCACAGTCAGGCTAATGAGAAACTCCCCAGCAACTCCCATATAAAATGCTTTCATAGGTCTTTAAAATGCCTTAAATTCTCTATATATTTAGTAAGACTTTTTACGTCTTTAAAATGTCCCTTGTTGCTCCTCAAGAAAATACCCTCGTGATGTATTGCAACAGAAATGCAGCATTGTCTGACCGGACCTTTGTTTTGCAAGTATTGAACCTTATTTTTGTCTTGGCCTCGAAGAAGCCAGAACCCCTTTTGCAGAGCAGAGGTGGGCACTTGCCTGGCCCCCAGCAGCCCTGCCCAGTCCAACCCCAGTGATGCTTTTGGAGAAGGACAGACAGGCTGCAAGGGCTGCACATGTGTTAAGGGTGGTGGGGGGGGGAAGCAGGGGGAAAAAGTACTCAGCTACACTGTTCCTCTGGAACAGAAAACATCTCTGCCTCTTAGGCAGCAAAACACGCCTGACCAGCTATTCAACAACAAACGAAGTCCTTGGATTAAGGGAGGAAAGGAAAAGGGGTTTTTTTCTTCCTTTTACATTAAGGAAAAGATGTTTACAAAACCTGAAGAGGAAGGAAATTTGCTATATGCCCATTGTTAAACAGTACTGGTGGATACTCAGATTACTCACCCTGATGCAAGGGCAACCTCTGCCCCTTCTATGGATTTTTTTGATTCTCTAGGTTATTATGCACAACCTTTAAGTAGTTGTTATTTTAAACAAATAATTTAAGCTATTTCTAGCTATATTTGAAGTACTGGAATAAATTCCTCAGTGCAACTATACCATGGCTTGGAATCTTGCAAAGCGTTTTGCCTTGGCAGATTTTACCAGGAATGAGCGGTTACACCAGAGCAGACAGCAACTTGTGCACACATTCTGCCAGAGAAAAAAGGATGGTCCTGTACCAAGGCAGCACCAAACAGACTCATCTGAGCAAAGGATTTCTTTTGCCATGGTGTTCACAACCAAGTTTCCATGGGCTGCACTAAGCAGCTCCCATGAACAGCCCCTGCCCAGTGCCATGGTGTGGTCAGAGGTGTGCAGGTTGTGCACCCTCAGTACATGTCAGGAGCAGAGAAACTCCCCCAGGAGACACTGAGCTTGGAACCCTGTGTTTGGCACACCAAGGACAGATGGTCATCAGAGCCACCCAGACAAGACCCATGACTGCAGACTCAACTCATGCTCACAAAAAAATTTTTCAGAATAGCTTCTACTGGTTAGATGAACAAAATAGAATATAGCAGCAAAAGTTCCTTTTTCCCCCCACAGATGCACCTATACAGCTATTTCACTAGTAGAAAAATATATTTATATAGTTTTAAAAAGCTTAAAGTTTACATTCTACCTGTAACAGCTCTTGCTGTTATACCACCCAACCCTGGGACCATGACTCCCCCAGCTCACAGCAGCTGTGCAGAGTGCCAACAGAATTTTTCAGAAGTCATTTTGTATGTGTTTGCACACACAGAGAGATGTACAAACACATACAGGAGAAAGAGGAAGAGAAATATGTTAATTTGAAACATCTGGCAAAGGTTTCAGAGTTAACAAGTCCCAGGTTTGGCCTTTGGGGCTTTTTTCCTTTTGGGGGAGTTAAGGAAGGGGAGGAAATTTTGTCATTCTGGGCCAGGGAAGGAAGGGACATGAAACAAGAAATTGAAGCATGTTTTTTCACCCTTTATTGAACTTCACCATCACACTACTGAAGCTAATGCAAACAGGAAGATCATAAAAGAACATAATGAAAGTCTCGCACACTGGGACTGAGGGACTGGTTTCAGTTACTGAATATAGCTGTGGAGCCACACCACACAAGAGCTAGTGACTTCACACAGCCACACTACCACAAACTTGGGCTTTTTAAGATTTTTCTGTAGTTCCTCAATCATATTCCAACCTGCAACTTGTGTGCTATGTGTTGCATCCCAGCTTGACAGGATACGGTATCACATCTTTATACACATACAAGATTGACATCTGTAGCTCCTAAATGTGTTAAGAAGAAAACCCCCCAATTAACACACATTTTCCTAAAGCTGCCATAAATCATGTATACAATACATTTTCTCCCACATCTGATGTCTTGAATGAGAGCTGTAATTGTGGGAATAAATGAAGAAAAATGGAGACTCAACTAACTTGGTAAAAGCCTTTCACAGTCTGTCTTTTACTTAACGCATAGTCACCAATACCAACCCCAAATTAACTCTGCTGTGCAAAGAATTTTTTTTTTTTGTCATTGTTTTGAACCATAGGCTATTTTGAATTTAATACACTTCCAGCCTTGTGATAGATAACACCGGTAACTCCACTGCAGTGCTGTTTGAGATGAAGGTCAAGCAAGAGAGCTGGCGAGCGCTCTTTTCATGCACCGTTAGCTGCAGGCACAAAGGGGCCTTCCACATCACAGCTGGGGGTTTGCAGCAGCAGCAGCAATATTTACTATCAAGACTAGTGAAAATAAACCCCTCCAAACAGCCAGAGTGCCCAGAGAAGATGCACCCAGTGCCCCAGAAGATGCATCTGAGAGCACAGCGGGCACAATGTGAAAGGCCACAAAGTGCCACGCAAAGACAGCTTGTGCCTTCGAGACCATAGAAATGCTCACTGTGGTAAGAAAGTGTCCCCTGGGAGCCAGGCTCCCCCTGACTCTTACAAAACCCATCTAACCGGGAATGCAACACCATTGTTGGTTTTCATATTACTGCTCAGCTTCTCAGCTGTTTCCCTATCATTGGTGAGCTTTTAAAGAATACCATTGCACAGTCCAATGTGGAGAGAGCACAGAAATAGACTTACTGGCTTCAAAATCAAAAATATTATGAACATCTCATAAATGTTAAAAACACACAGCAAAATATCTTTACATGGGCACAGTGACTGAGATGTGGCTAGTCACTCTAAAGACAAACTAATCTGACATTTACCCTATGCTTGTGTTATCAATACATATTTCACAGACAAACTTGATTTATCCTGTTCCATTTCTTGAGCCTCTTTTTATTCAGATTATTGACCTAACATGAATGAACGAGCTTCAGACACATGTTTATCACTGTCAAGCAGACCAAAAGCTTGTTCAAATTTTAAATCTTTCTACCATGGCGATGTACCACTTTTATTCTCCAGCCCTGACAGTACTTTCCAATTTCCTCCGAGAGGAGAAATACACACATTCCAGTTGAGACCGAGGCTTAAAATTCCTATTAAAGCAGCTTTTATGTAATTAGATTGGAATGAATGTGTAACAGTGCCCATTGCAGAAAACTTCAAAGTGGTTATACTGGAGAAATCACAACCCGTTTCAGTGTGCCCACAAGAAGAAAGAATGGCTCTCTGGAGGATAAGAGTATATTAGTCTCTGTGTGTAATAGATTTTATTGACCATATGGAACTGATATAAAAATTGTGTTGCAGTGGGTAGTCTTGGATTTGAGACAGGAATGTGACATACAAAATACAGTTCATGTAAAAAGCCTGGCAGCTTTCTGGCAGTTTTTGCAATCAGAAGAACCTAAAATATTTACCTGATTGAGTCACTGACGAGTCCCAGGTCAAACCAAAATCTGAAGATTCACCCTCTTCAACTGAAAAAGAACAAAAATAAGTTGTGATTGCTAAAGCAAACCAACTGGAAAGCAAAGTCATCAGAAAACTAGGTCCACTATGACATTAAGTATTAAAACAGACTTCTCCACTGCTGAAAAAGAACTTACTGCTTTCTATAAAGGAATTCATAAGGTGGAAATTTGGTAAAGAGATTTTTTCTACTTTTTAACCTAAATATGGGATTTGGGTTTGCAGTTTCTTCCTGAATGGGTGTCAGTAAGTTCATGTTAAATTTTAATAGACACTTAAACACCACTCCTGGTAAGTATTCATATTTGAAATGTTGTACATTCACAGCTTGCATGTGCAAAATTGCCATTGTAAATATAGAGGTTGTTTTTGAAATGGATGTTTCAACAGATCATAGTAAAGAACTGTCCTGTGAAGGAAAAATTGCCTGACTTATGTCATCCTAACATACTAACACATCTGCCATATTCAGAACCCAGTGATATCTTCAGGGATTTTTCAGAATTAAAAAAAAAACTATTTTGATGTATAACCATGTTCTGTGATATGGCAGTCACAAATAACTGCTTTTAAAATTTGTTGTTGCTGTGAAGGCTGTCAGAGCCAGTGCTCAGCACTTGCAAGTGACATAGCTAAAACCTTCTGCCTGTTAACAATTACAAAAATGCCACTTGATTCTTACATTCTTAAAAATAACTAAGAGAACAGCCAACAACAAGCCAGGTAAAAAAGTGCCGGATTCTGCTGTTACTGAAGTCAGTGCTGGTTACACTAATGACAGACTGGGCATTTGAAAGCAGCAGTTGCAGAAATTCTTCTTTTGAATTGCAAAAGTTTATCATCATCACCTGCCCACTCTGTCACCCTGACACCAAACAAATTTAAATTATACGTCTTTATTTTCTGATTAATATTATTTACTCCATGCACTTAACAATTGCTTACCCTTTCAACTAAGTTATGCTGGGTTCAAATGCACATTCTATAGAATTCTGCAACTGGAATCCAAACCATATTGCAAAGCCACAAGCACAAACCCTGTTGACCTGCTCTCTGCACTCAGGCCAACCTGCTCCAATGAATATTTCCACTGACATTTGCATCACAACAGTCTTGATTTTATGCTTTCCTCACATTTTTCCCCCCAATCCAGTACGGAATTCTGGCATTAAGTTGATGTTAGTGGTAACATCATATGGCATTAGGAACAGAGAATATAATTTACATAGGCAGTGCCTTGACAAATGCAATTTTTTGTCCAAACCATAGAAAAATGTGTGCTACACAGAAGGGCACCACTCTGGTTTTCTTAAATCCGTGTGCTTTCTAATGGAGGAGCATGAAATTCAACCATTTCTTTGGAGAAATCATACTTGAGTCTTGGCTATACTTTTTTCATAGTCTATGTTAGCATAAAGGCCGTGTCACATAATATTAAATTCCAGAATGACAGAGGAAAAACAAGAGGCAAAGCTAGAAGCTTATTGAAGCCATTATTGGTCCTATTCCCTGACGGTGGCAGAGCCAGCTTGGCTGGCGTGTGCTCCCTCCTGAGGGCTCACCTACCATTTTGTGCTCTCTAAGCCACCATCTTGTTCCCATTTTGACCCATCTCTTAATAGAAAAACTCTGGATGCAGTTATCCCAAATACCATTTCAGTCTTACACAAATGCATGTCTCATTTTAACATCAAAATCTATATACACCTGGGAGGGTTTTTGCTCCAAAACTAAATAAGCCAAGTTGGAAATTCATGTACCTTACCCAAAACAGACAAGCGGAATGTTTTAATTTTGTTTTATCCTTGACTGTTTTTTGGTTGTTTTGCTTGGAGAGTATTTTTTTATATTACTACTTTTATGCTGAGGCTTTTTTTATTTCTTTACATTTTGTCTTTGAAAGAGAGATTTAAAAAACCCAGTCTGCTAAAAATACATAAAAGAGATAAATTTGGTCCTAGTCAAGGAGTAGTATATGGATCTGCACTGGTCATTGACAATTTTAGCAATACACTGACTTTCATGTTGGTTAAACACCAAAGACTACTCCAGTCCTTGAGCTGCTCTAGGGCAGGTGGCTCCAGCACGTAACAAAACCACGGTTTTTGGAATCCCTTAAATGAGGGCAAAGGTTTGCATCAGCCTCTGTTGGCATTAATTTGCTCTGCTCCCTAATGACTGAAAAGGGGACAGAGAACATTCACGTGGAGGCAATGGCACTGAAATTCACTTTATATTATCACAGTCATGATTTCAGGTTCTCCCCCTCAATTTGCACAGACCCACCACAGAGCTGACAGTGCTGCATATCCATGGAAGAAGAGGCCAGTGGGATGGAGCCTCCTGAGCTTAGGCACAGACACATCGCCCTGCAGCTGCTGCTCACAACACTACCACCACTTTCCTTTTGCTTTTCCATTTTCCTTTAATTCTTTTAAGCAAACAGTTTCTTTCAGAGGCTAAACTATAAGAAAAAGTAACAGCAAAGTCTGTTCCAAAAGGGATTGCAGTATCAACTGACTCACGCACTTGATCCTCACCTGCCCATCCATGCATCCACCCAGCTAGGCAGTGGGCAGAGAGAAACAAGGAACAAAAGCAGCCACATCCAGAAAAGAAAGACTGAAAGACTGTGTCTATACTCTCATTAAGAAGCCCCAGAGGCTTGGTGGGAAGTGGTGTCTGCGAAGCTGAAGCAAAAAAGAGGTGATCAGGCTTTGTCACAGACAGCAAGTGTAATTGCAGGGGACACTAAACTCCATGTGCTTCTGCTCCCTCTCCATAATGGGCATAAACCGAGCTGTGAGGTTCCTCTGTGTCTGCTTAATCTTCTGGATTAAATGGTTATTTAAGTATTCAAAGTGGTGTCACTGGTGGCTTTTCCTCAACCTCGGCAGTGAGCAGAAGCCATGGAAGTCAGAAAGAAATATGTTTTCTTTTTCCTAAAGTCAACTTCAACAGCCAAGCATTTGCAGCTGAAATTTGCTCTCAGTTGCATATGTTTATTGCTGGAGCCATGGGGAACCAGAAAGAGGCTTCCCAGGCTGGCTGGAGATCTGGGGACATGATGCTGTTCACAGAGGGCAGAGGAGTCCCACAGACCCCATCTGGGGACAGGCCCCCTGGGGACTGCCTTAGGACTTGGCTAGTCCTCCCTGGCAGGGCATAGTGGACCCAGAACAGATTTGGTCACTATGGCTGTGAAGGGATTTTCATGTCTCACTACTGAGAACAAAGTCAAAACCACTCTTAGTCCATAACATTAGCCAGAGAATGATTCACTTAAGCTGAATTTTCAGTTTCTCAATATTTTTGTCATCATTCCTTGAAACCTAAGTTGGCTCAGGTGACCATGTGTATCAACATTCACTGTGTAGATGCTGCTACTTAACTTGTGGTAATGAGCAAAACAAAGTCAGGGAAGAGGTACAAATCATTCAACACAATCACTCTCAAAATACACTGCAGAGTAAGAATAATTCCCATTTCATTAGCAGGAAAATACATTTTCTGAGACATGCTAGACATAACTACCCAAGTCAAGGACTAGACACTTCTATCTGTGCTAGCTAATCACTCTGAATGTGCGGACACCTATGTCCACAAAGCTGATGTTTAGCATGGGCAGGAGCCACCCACGTGCATGAAACACTCTGCGGCTTGGGAAAACCACAGGGAACAGTGGCACCATTCAAGACTGAGAACCCTGATTTTCCAAACCAACTGAAGATCTTGTACCAATTCTAACTACTTTTCAAGAATCCTGGTGACAAGAGGGTGAAGGCTTTGCATTTTCTGAAATTTTGGAGGCATTTCATACCAGGCATTGAAAATGAAGACATACAAAATCACTGGTGTTAAGCTGTGGGCAGAATGTTCACAGATGCACTTCACTTGTTTTTTTGCTGGATTGGATTCTTCCCATTTTCTTTCAGAAACTCAGCCTGTTTTCTGCCCAATTTACATGGCTTGCACATTAAACCATGGTTGGAACACAGACTTTGCTATGCAAGTACACTCTTACTCTGGTCTCTATCTGCTCTCTCCATTAGAATGATCCATTTAAAATGCTTTGGAAATGCATATTTTTACTTTTTCAGTAATACAGAGACAATACAGCAAGAGGACAAAAGCTGGATTCCATTCAACTCCAGGCATCTTTGGCACAACACTCACAGGGCAACACACTGACCAATAGAGAGGGTACACACGACTGACTCTTTGAGCCAAAATCATTATCATGTTCATTTTTAAAAATGGGCAAGAAAAAGTTTCAAAGTCTAGTACTACACCTTGATATCAACACTCACAGCACCCTATTTCTATTTTTTGAAGCATTAACTTATTTTTCTTCTCTTTTGTAAATGATGCATAGTATTTGCCAGCACACTGAGATAAAATACTGCAAATAAAAAGAGACTTTTTAAGCTACATCCTTCAGGGTGATCATGAAATAGTTACAGGAATCTCACCAAAGTGTGTGCCTGCTACAACATCTGCGTCTTTGCTGAAATCTGGAGGCATCTCTGAAGCTGACAGCCTTCAGGAAAGCTGAGTTTGACTTGAGAATAGCCTTGATCTGGCAGCATGGAAATTCTTATTGTTAGTCAGCTCAAAAGATGGTTAAGTTTGTGGACTGCCCACCTGAGGCCTGGCACAGGGATGTCATTGCTGGCAGTGGAAGGACACATCTGCCTCCCCTCCCTCCTCTGCCCCAGCACAGGAGGACTCCCTGCTGTCATACCTGGACAAGACCTCTGTTCTGTTCCAGCTGACTGTGGGGCCCAAATGCGAGAGCCAGAATAAGCACATAGCCAACACAGGGAAGAACTGTGTGCAATGGCAACATCACAATACAGCACTCCTGCACATGCCAAATATTTGCATTTTGCCCACTTGTCTCAGATGTTCTCCAAGGATGCTTATTTAATTGCTAGGTCACGAGTGCTGCAGGCTCAAAGATTTCAGTTCTTTGTGCTCAGAGAAACTTCTGAAAGGATTCAGCATC